GCCCTACAGCCTCGCGGCCTGGGGCGGACGCAGGCTTTAGCGCACGGGGAGACCTGGGCGCGTGGCCGTGCGGGGGAGCGGTGGCGAAGCCCCGTCTGCTCCTTCCACAGGGCCTCGGTGCTGGTACTGTGCGGTGAGCCCTTCCTCGGGCTGCGCTCGCCGCCTTCGACCTCTGCCTTGCGAGAGGGGTTGGAGCTGGAGCTCGGGCTCGCCGCCTGTGCGTGCTGTGGTCTTGTGGCTCTTTGCCTTTGTGCCACCCCTTGGTGCTCTGGTCCAAGGTGATGGGCGTTTGGTCCGGTGAGCAGTGGCAGCGGGCAGGCTCTGCTCCTGGGGAGCATATGGCCCTCCTCTTTGTTTGGTGGTCACTTCTTGGTTTTCTAATTATTTTCTTTCCATTCTGCATTGCAATGGGACTTTAGAAACTGAGCATAAAAAGCTAGTGGCAGGTATGGACTCTTCACGTTTCAAGGAGGATGAAGGGCCATGCGTTTCCGTGGGGTTTTCCATCTCAGTCTGTGTGGGACTTGCCAGGGATGCTCTCCCATGAGGATGTCACCGAAAGGTGCTCTGGGCTTGTTCTGCTCCTCTGCCCAGAGCTGAGCTTTGTACTGGAGGCAGGGAGAGGGTGGAAAGGGTGAAAAGGCGTCGCAGGAGCGAGGCGGTGGGCGCGTAGCTCCATGGATGCTCTCTGCAAACAGCTGCCTCGCCGGGACCGTTGCTGAGTGCTTTGGTTGTAGCTGCCCTGGGCCGTGTGAACTCAAGTACTTTCATTTTATAATTGTTTAAGATGTTTTTTATGAAGAGTGCCTGTTAAAATCCAGCCAAAGCACCGGCTGAGGCCTGCTTTCCCCACGATCAAAGGAGGAGCCGGGAGATAGCGTCGCCTTTTGTTTGTGTGGAAGAGGTGTGCTGCACAAATACAGGAGTTACACATATTTGCAGAGCTCTCAGTGCGAAACGCTTTGATTTGGCATTAAACCTTTGCCTGCTGCGTGTTCAAGCCAAACATTCCCATGCCGAGCTGGGATCTGGCAGGCTCGGAGAGCGAGATAGTAGAAGTGTCTTCTGTTTTCATTGTTTATTCTGAGCAAAGTGTGAAAAATAAATAGATCTCGAGAAGTCAATTGCTCTCTTGAAATGGCCGAATTCCCCCTCGCAGCCCGGCTTTCTGTAAACGGAGTGGAAGGGGAATTCCAGGGGCCCTCGGCTAATAGCGCCATAATGTGAACTGGAAATATTTCTCTGTAATCGCCTTGTGGGTGATTAGCGGGACAGGGGGAGGCAGTGCGTGCTGGAGAAGGATTAACCTGGACAGCATCCCTCTTTAATTTAAATGGCATTTTACAGGCTATTAATTTTGACATTATTTCCTTTGGGGCATAATAGTCTAGAAACACCTTCAGTTTCGGAGGAACGCTGCTTGTTGGTGTGGGAGGCAAGCGACACGCAGGTTCACACTCTCCGGATATGATACGATACGTCTGGGTGTCTGTCCAGGCGGAGAAAAGGCAGCAACGTTTCCGTGCAGACCTGGGACTCATAGTTTGTGCGTGATGTGTCGCTTGCAGCGAGTGAATCAACGTGAGTCACTTCTGCTTGGCCCGAAATGCACTCATCTGTTTTGTGTGCCTTTGCGGCTGCGGAGGGCCGGTGGGCAGGGATTCCCTCCCGTTACGTGGCGCGGGGAGCTCAGCTTTATTGCGGTGGCGTCTCGGCTCTGCGGGACGTGGTGCTGACTTTCTGTGCCGCTGCGGTTTCAACCTGCCTGACCACCTGCACTGCTGCATGCGAGAGTGCTTGGCCGTTAAACCTTTGATCGCTGCTCGGGTTCCCAGCCCTTTCACCGTGCTCAAAGCCAAAATCTTCGGCAGGATTGTTCAGTGGGTGTGTTCCTGCTGTGGGCCAAGCTAGACCTTCACTTGGCTAAGCCGGGAGAAGAGACAACAGTAGCCTCTCATCACTCTGGCTGTAACCCAGGACTTGCCCCCTGACAAGACCCAGCTCAGCATCTGTACCTCACGTGTTGGGTCGATGTTTCCGTGTCGGTTTATCGGGTAGTTTCCCCGTGCTGTGCCTTAGCTGACTTCTTCCACTTCCTCCTAAGATTGACGTTTGTGGCCTTTCCAGCCTCAGTTTAGCTGGGATGAAGTCTTTGCAGTGCATTCAAAGAGATGATCTATGTTTCAGAAGCCTGGCTGATGAGAGAGCCACTCGAGAGCCGCTCTGCAGCAGCGCTGGGGCTTCCCCAGGCACCGCAGGCAGCTTTAAAAGCAGTTTGTCTCGCTTGGGCAGCTGAGCCCCTTGCTCTCAACCGACTGCTGCCGGTCCTGTCCTCTTCCAACTCCCGTCCTTCCCTGCGCTGGGACCCCAGCAGACCTGCTCTCCTGAACCTCTTCCTCGTGGCTCTTCTCCCTGAGCAGTTAAGGACGAGGGCTTGCTTCTGATCCCTCCACCCAAATCTTCTTGGGAGGGCAGTGTCCTGTGTTGCATGTGTGCTAGTGAGCAGCCAGTCTGGGCTTCTGGCTGCCGTCCTCGGTGGAGGAACGCTGGAGCGGTGCCGCCGTGATCGCCGTCAGCGCCAGCAGCGGAGCCGTACCGCGTCCTTCCCTCCCTCCTGGCGAATGGGCAGTGTTTGCAGAGTAGGACCTTCCTGCCGAGGAAAGCTCCTGTAGCCCCTCCAACGCTGAGAGATGATTAGTGAATGGTTTGGGTCATGGATTTTTTTTTTTCTTTCTTATTTTTTCCCTTTTCTAGAAGCAGGGCAGGCGGACCAACGCTGAGAGATGATTAGTGAATGGTTTGGGTCATGGATTTTTTTTTTTTCTTTCTTATTTTTTCCCTTTTCTAGAAGCAGGGCAGGCGAAACTGCTTGATCATGCTGTGCTGCTGCAGGTGATCAAAGAACAGCAGGTACAACAGAAGCAGCTACTTGACCAGCAGGCAAAACTGCTGGCTGTAATTGAAGAGCAGCACAAGGAGATCCACCAGCAAAGGCAGGAGGAGGGAGGAGAGGAGAAGCCAAAGCAAGGTAAGGACATCACCAAAGAGCGTGACCCCTCCACAGGCTGATCGCTGCTCAAAGCAGCCTTAAAATCAGGCTGGGAGAGATCCGAGTCCCTTTGGCACACGGCAGAGTCCGCTCTGCAAAAGCCATTTCTCTTGTCTGACCCTGACCTCTGAGGTGGGGATCCCCGGCCCCTGATCGCAGGGATAACGCTCTCCCCCACGGCTCTCCTTGTTTTCCCGCGTGGCCATTGATGGTGTGATCTCTTCTCCTGTCCCCTGTTGTGCAGAACGGGGTGGCGGGAGAAGGGAATCTCTCACTCGTAAGAAAAAGCTTTTACGTGTTGGTTTTTGTTCTGCAGTGGAAACGCAGCAGGAGCCCGCTGTGCCCCTCTCCAAGAGCAAGGAGGACGAGGGTCTCGGAGCTAAGCAAGAAGCTGCTGCAAAGCAGCTCAACAAAGAGCTGTTGGAGCACGCTGCGCAGGGCCCGGGCAGGCAGCCTGCTGACTCCGTGGAGCAGCGCAGGGGGACTGCAGGAAAGCTGGAAGAGGATGGGCACAGACGTGAGATTCCTGGGGTTCCTCCCAAGGAGCGGAAGGTGCCGCCGCAGGAGAATGACAGAGCTGTTAAAAATCCTGCAGAGAACTGGGATCCCCTTCATGGGGATGCTCAACACATTCCAGCAGCCAGAAACCACCTAGAAAAGAAGCCCTTGGCGGAGGATTTAGGAGGAGATCACGAAGCCAAAGCTGGAAGAGACGTCCACGAGAAGAAGAATTCCCTGAAAGCCGTGGAAGTAGCTACAGCTCCCATCCAAAGAGAACAGCTGGGGGCTGCCAAAGTTCAGGGAGTGGCAGGAAAGAGTCTGGAAAGAGACTCAGGAACAGACCTTAAAGCCAAAGCACTGAGTCAGGTGGAGCCCAAAGACCTGGCAGTTGCGCTGGACTCCTCCAGTAAAAGGAACGTGGCAGAGAGCGAGCAGCACCTACGGGAGCGTCAGAGAGGTGCAGACGCCGAGGGAGGCGAGGGTGCTGGCAGGCGGCAGCAGGCCTTGCAGAAGGACCTGGCTGGCAAAGGGGAGCTAAAGGAAGAAGCTCTTCGGGAGAACGTGGCCCAGGACCCGCAGGGAGGTCTCCGGAGCAAGCAGAGGCATGGGAATGGGGGTCTCTCAAACGACGCTGAGAAGAAACCGGGCCCTGAGAACGCTCCTGCCCAAAAGCCCGAGAGAGGAGCAGCTGCCCAGGGGGAGCAGAAGCTGGACCACGATGTCAAACCAAACCGGGACCTGAAACTGCAGGCGGACCTGGACCTCCGCCGAAGGAGACGGGACCTGCTGCCTCCCGAGGAGGAGGAGGAGGAGGAGGCTGCACAGGGGGCGGGGGTCTTCATTGGCCTGAACCCCCTTCCAGATGTGAAAGTAAATGACCTCCGGAGTGCTCTAGAGACACGATTAAACCAAGTTGCGGAGGGGGCTCAGCAGGTGGTCCACAGCCGGCAGATCAAGCAGATGACGCAGGCGGACGGGAGCATGTGAGCGGGGTGGTCGTGCTCGGTGGGTGGCTGCGGGTGTTGGCCACAGGCACGAGGCTGAGGAGCTCCGTAGGGAAGGTTCAAGTTAACCAGCTGTTTTTTTGGCCACTGTTGCTCAGGCAGAGGTTGGTCTAAGCCAGCAGCACTTTGCTGGACGCAGTGCTTGGACCCACGGGATCTCCTTGGACTTGTCAGCACCGTCCAGGGAACCGTGGGCTTCTCGAGTCTCTGTGACGGTAGCACCTCCCTGTGTGTGCTTGCAGGTGGCTGAGGAGATTGCAACCGTGAAAGAAAAGCTCTCGCTGTCCTCTGGCTTTCAGAGGTTGCCATCTACCTTGGTTCCCTGCCAGGCCAGCTTTCAAGGACCTTTTTCAACATCTCGTTCATATCAAATTGCCTTCTCCATCTGGCTCTCGACTCCCCTTTCAGAACCGAGGTGGTTGTCCACGAGGTTCCCCTGCCTGCTTGGAAAAGCTTCTCTGGCACCTGCCTTGGGTTCCCTCGCCCAGGCTGTGTGGGGCTTCGGGGCAGAGGTCTGGGGCCGCGGGAGGAGGGGAACCAGGGATCGCACATCTCGGGAAAGGCTTTATTCTGGGAAAGCATCAAGTCATGAGTTGAGGACCAGCTTAGCCAACTGCTTTGGTGTTTCTCTTGAAATGGGAGCTGTTAGTCTTGCATGTTTAGGAGATAGTTGTGGTTTAGGAACCTAGTTTAGTAGAAACGCTGCCTTAAACGGGCACAACTGCTGCTGTTGTGCTGCCTCTACTCCCAGGGATTTAATTGGTTGGCCACACACTAGCAATAACACGGAGCTTTGCTCTCGCCACCCTCCCCGGATGCTCAGCTCTCATCTGTGCTTTCAAGCTTGACTTCTCCTGTCCAAAGTGCATTATGAAGCTCAACCCGGGGGCTGCAGACTGCCCCCTCCCCCCAACCAGCTTGATTTTTCTGCAAGAGGTGACTAATTTGGTAACAAAAGACGTGGCTTAAAAGGGGCGGACTCGGGGGCTTGGCTCAAGCGTACCTACCTCTTCTCTCTGTAACGCGGTGGAGCGTGTTTGTTTTGTGTGCTCTTCCCAGCCCCCCTCTGCGCCGTGTTTTACATCCATAGATGTCAGTACTCTGCCCCTGGAAATGTATTTTACGAGCGAGGAAGGGAAGAGCTTCTATGAGAGCCCTGGTTCGTTTCAGGCTCCCAGACAGTGATTCATCCCTTTGTGTTTTTTTTTTTTGTTTGTTTTTACTTCCTGACTTGCGAATGTAAGAAATCAAATCCCAAAGCTCTCACTAGAATGGCTGAAATTTCCCAGCCTGGAGTCTACAGACCTCATCACTGTGGTGGTTTTTATATCCGTATCTCAAAGTGTCTTTGGTAAACTAGCCTCGTGGAGTTCGTGTCCGATGGGACCTCGCAGAGCCAGGGGTGGGTCGTTATCGGACACGCAGGACTGTCACACCGGTTCTGCTCACTTGGGAACTCTGCTGCCGCCTGCCTTGGACGTGTGCCTGTTGCTCGAAGGATGTCACCTTAATTTCTTATTAAAACGACACAGAGCCACAGGGCAACGGCCACGGACTTGGGCGTACTTCTTCGGGAGGACCACCCACGCTAATTTTCCGTGACTGTCATGGCCTTAACCCTCAGGACTCCCCCCATAGTACAAGTGAGCTTCTCCATTACGCCATCTGAAAGCACAAGCAACGCGGCCGGGAGTCCCGGAGCCACTCCGCAGCCGTCCCCGGTACGTGTCTGTCGGGGCAGGGAGGGCAGCGGGCTCCGGAGCACGGCTCTAACTCTGCAGTGGGGAGACAGGTCCAGGCTTTGTCCCCTGCGGCACCGACCAGCCTTTCTAAAGCGAGAGGGAGCTGGAGCAGGAGCTGGATCTGCCCCTTCTTGCCCTTTGCTGCCTGCCAGGGTCTGTCCTGGGCCGTCTCGGGCAGCG